TTAACTTAAATAACTAAGAAACTATTCCAGGTTAGACTAAAAGTAGTTACATGAGGAATAGAAATCTTTGAATACACAACTTTCAGAACTTGCTGACAGAGGATTCCATGATGGACACAATGGAGGGGTTCAAAGCTGAGTTAAGAAAAATTTAAATTTGCCAAAGGGATAAGAAAAACTCAGTATGTACCAAGTCCTGCATTATTAGACTGAAAGCATGCTTATCAAAACTGGTAGAGAACCATAGCAGAGCAGTTTAAAACATGAATAAAAAGAAAGAATTTCTTTAAGCAGAAGGCAGACAGCTTTTGGGATTTGTTGTAAGTAAAAAAAAACAAAAACAAATTCATCAACAGCAGGCTTGTTAACAGATATAAGAAGAAGCAGTCAGGGACATGTCTTCTAACACCCCAATTCCATGCCAGTAGATGCTAGGATAAGACAAGGGAGGTATGTGCTCTCCTGAGGCTGCATCCTATCACCAGTGTTGAAGACCAAGATATATGGACCACTGCTCTATTTCTTGTGTATTCTTGATTTTTCTAGCAGTGTGCATAACTGCTCTTGAAATGACTGATCAGAAGTGCATAGAGTTTTGTGTAGTTGGAAATGTTATGTCAAGGTATGTTTTCTTTTTACAAAATGGTACAAAGAATTAATTCTGGTAGATCTTGTGGCCCGTGTTAGGAAGGAGCTCAGATTAAATAACAGTAGTATTCCTGTCTGGCTTTATAATCTATAGGTCTATTAAATTTTCTCATAGCATAATAAATTTTCAGTTTCAGACTTGATCCTTCTCTACTAGATCCTTTTTATATTTAACTATAAGTTTTTTAGGAGGATTCCTTACTACCTCTCCCTTTATAATAGCCTTTGTTTATCTTTAATAAATGGCCTTATGTTGTTTACTGTGCTTCACATTTTTTCATCTTCTTTGTGTGTTCTACACTGCACAAGTAGGTATCTTTCAATAAAGACTGCCTGAGAGCGAAGACAAAGAAAGTGAGCAAAAAAAACACAGATGGGGAGGGAGGGTCAGAGGGAGAAAGAAAAGACTGAGGAGAATGTTATTCCTGAAGGATTTGAAAAGAATTTAATGTAATTTGAGAAAGTGTTTAAATGTCAGGGAATAAAGAACAACTATTTTAAAGAATTTGTAATAATATTTCTGATATTGTTACCACACTTATTTTTATAAAAGTAGCTGATCATTTAAACTTAATTTAAATACACTGCAGTAGTGGAACATAGTGATAGTGCATATTTCCATTTTTTACCTTGCCTTCTTGATGATGATGTAAATTATACAGGGGTTATCTTAAGTGCCAGTTGAAGAAGGCAGTTACTGTGATGCCCATATGGTACTACTATGTTTTACATTTATAACTGAATTTCTTTTATAGTCATTGTTCTGATACCTATTTCAGGAAGAAATGTTGCAAATAAATTTTAGATATGGATTAAGAAGAAAACAGTAAGCAACTGCAAAACAATATAATGCTAGCAAGTCAAACAGGATTGTTATTAAACTACAAAGTTCCTGAACAAATTCAAGATTATAATTATGTAAGCTATGGTACAAATTGAAAGTGTCTTACAGAAATATTTTTCTTATTGCAAAGCTAAAAAGGAAAGTCTCTGCAAGTTTATTTCTACAAACAAACAGAAAGGAAAATATTTGAACTTCCGTTGTACTGACAACATTATCTATGTTTTATACAGCACAGTGTTTTAAACACTATTAACTTACAGACAACACCACCCTTTATTTTTAAATGAAGAAGTGGTGGTGAGAGTGCTGAGAAATAATCCAGCTGAACATTTTATTGGATGAATCAGTCCTACTTGAAAGCAACTGAGAGCTCTTGGAGACTGAAATACAGTAATATACCAAAGGATACTTGCTACTTGTTATGTTTCACAGTAGTCAGAGAGAAAGTGTGTTAAAGCAAGACAGAAAAATTTTAACACTGTTTGAACTCTGAATGTTGGTCAAGGTCCAAGTTTCAATGCTAATTCTGATTTCTGTGGCCAAAAAAAAAAAAAAATTCAAAAAAATCAGAAATTCCTGACAGACTTAAATTTTTAAAATTCAAACTGTCTGGTATGTCAGCATCCTGTTAGAAATGTCCTGCAGAATTCCCATCCACTGGAAGCTCTGCATTAAAATACGCACTAAGAACATTAAAAGGCATTGTGGTATGGCTGAAATATTTATTTAAAGACTTATGAAGAGTTCTATTTTTGGTGAACCAAGTTAAAACTAAGCGATAAAGTACAGCCACCTATCACATGAGATGAATCTGAGCCAAAATGCTCTACCTACACTTCAAAGCATCCATAATCTCACCAGACATCTCAAATCTCTAGCTCTAGTACAACTAATTTAAGCCAGACTTCAATTCTGTGTGCGCTGGCAGACAGAGAGTGAGAGCAGGATTCAAGGTCAGGACAGAACTTTTACTTCTCTTAGGCAATGCTATAGTTTGCATTTATGCTGAACAACGCTCAAGCTTTTTATCTCCAAAGGCTGACTGTTCCCAGACCCAAATCAGTAAGATGCTGAGTACTTTGTAGGAGAGGCTGAAAGATTTTAAAACCTATTGATGGCATTGCTTCTAGATGACTTTCAGCTCTTCTGGAGGGTGGGTGTGGACGGGGTGGCAGAATTGGATGCCAACATATTAAATTTTCCTGACACAATAAAAACCTCCAGTCATGGCAGATTGAATTCATACCTTAAGTCTAAACAACAAAAGAATTAGTTTTGCACCATTCTGTTGGAAATAAGCAGCACATTGCTTATACCAGTGACTCTGTGTGCAATGAAAACAAGAGCAGCTGTTCCTTTATGGTTCTGCCATCTTTACCCTTACACTCTGTTTTTCTTGGCACTTAAGAAGTGAGTTACTAATGTTCTTTTCAGTTTAAAGAGTACCACAAAATACCTGTTCATGTAAAAAAAAAAAAAAAAAGGGAGGGGGGCGGGGTCCAGGGGTGGAGAAAATTCGAAAATAAACCCTGTAGTCCAAACCTATAGCCCAAAACCCCTATTGAGGTAGTTTTTTTTTTCCTCCTGAAAATAGGGAAAAAACTTCACTGGCAAAATTTCCTTCTACAACATATATACAGTTTCAAGTAACTGTGTAAAATATAGCTTGTGCATTACATATTAAAGGACAAATCCTGTCTCCATTGACAGCAATGATATATTTTTTCATTGATCTGAACAGAACTAAGATTCAAAAAGGACTGAATGGGCCTGTAATGAGCAACATTCTGGGTAAGCCACACAGCTGTCAGCAAACACTTCTTACAGTCTCTTATTTAAGTTTATTAAGTTTCACCTTGAAATCATTTAAATTTCTTGCCAGCAAGGTTCTTCTGAGGAGTATGCATGTCTGACACATGGGAATCTACTTCTCATTTCAAGCATAAATGCACGGAAAATAGCTGATACGGATTTGATCTCATAACTTTAATAGTTCTTCTTCCTCTTCAGATCTCTTTTATTGCTAGAATGGAGTTGCTAAGCCCTTCTTTTTATCAGTCTTCTCCAACAGATCAGACCCTAAAAGTGGTCTTTTGGTCCCTTCCAGTTTCAATCAATTTTTTTGTAACAAAAGTGACTCCAGATTTACAATTATATCCAGGCGTGGTCTCAACAATAGTTCGTACAATGGCAGCCAAACATCTCTTTCTCTGTAGACATCCCATGACTTATATGGCCTGGACAATATTTACACACTTCTTTGCCATGGCACCTTGATAGTCCATAACAAACCATAAAAAAGATACTTATTTTTATCATTTGCAAATTAAATGTATTCAGGATACCTATTTTCATATGTTCTTGCTCTGAAACTGGTAACTTTGATAGATTTCTCTCAACCCTGTGTACCAGTTTCAGTGTGATTTCTAAGGACAGTTCTAGCTCTTCTCAGTCAAAATTCAAAATTCTGACAATTAGTTTCTAAAGTTATGGCAATGATATACAATTATTTTCATAGTCAAGGTGATACTCTCTTGCAATCAACTTTATGGCCTTAAGGTTTTGCAGTGTGGTATTATAAGATTTGTCTTTTATTGCTGAAGGTGATCTGCACTACACAGTTTTTAATTCATGGCTTTGAACCCAAGGACACCTAACACTGTAGCTGCACCTCAGATTTTAAATCACTCCAAAGGCAAAACCTGAACTGTAAAAAGTTCTGCCTATTGCTTTTTAGCTTTGATTATGTTTTTAACACGTAAAGAAAGCCACTTTTGTGCAAGCAAGACATCCAAGTCTTATTTTTGCTTTTAAAAATCAAATTGCAGCAGCTTCTAGAATTGTAGTACGCATTTAGGCTTTCTGAAATCCTTCTCCTGACACTAGTGTGGGCCATTTCCATAACGATGATTAAGTAAAATGTACGAAGGGGAAAGAAGCTGCTACATGTCAGATCTAATGGCAGATGGAAGATCGAATGGCAACCGGAGCTGTGCCCGACCAGGTGCTGCTCAGGTGGATGATAATAAAAGGGCCTGGTCCAGGAGCACTGGCAGTGCTCTACACAACATTGGCATTACGGGGCTGGAAATGGCTCTTGGCTTCAGCAGCACCCGAACCCTCGCTCATCAGGGGCCAGCTCATCAAGAACCGCAGCGCCTATATTGAGTCCCATCACCGCTGGGTGTACCATGGAGCTGGGACATCGTGCTGGTCTCCCTGAGGGAATGGATGGATTTCAGCTTTAAAAAGCGTCTCGCAGCTAAGGAGGGCAGAAAGGTAACTTTGCTGGGTTCTGCTCCCCGTTGGGCCCAGCCTTGCATCTGCCCTCCGTTTTGTACGGCATTGCCACCACACCTCAGCTGGGCTGAGGAAGGAAGAAAGGAGGAGGGGAAACAAAACAAAAAAACAAAAAAAAACCCAACAAAACAAAACAAAAATTTAATTTAATTAAAAAAAAAAAAAAAAAAAAAAGGAAAAAAGAAAAGAAATCCATCCCTTTCTTCCGAAACTACATTTCCCAGAGTGCCTCCGTACGGCCGGCTTCCTGCCCCTCACATGACAGCTGCCTGGCCACGCCATGGCGGAAGCCGGGGAGAAGGTAGAGGCTGTCAGTGCGCTGTGGCCGCAGCGCCGGGAGCGGGGCTTAGAGCGGGACGGCGGAAGCGCGGGGCCGGGCCGGGGGCACACGGGAGTGGAGGGACGGAGGGACAGGGCCTGTGCCAGGGGGCAGGGGCCGGCATTCAGCCCTGTGGGGTGCGGGGCCGGCCGCGACAGCCTCGGCACAGCCTCCGGGACAGGCTCGCTGCACCGAGCTGGAGGAGGAAAGATGGAGGCAGCGGAACCTGGGTCTGGCCGGGAGGGTGGGTTTAGAAATGCGTCTGGCGCCGCTGTGGAGCCAAGGTTAATGAGCCGGAGGGTCTCTCTACCGAGTGACATAGGAAACACGACCAAGTTCAACTCAACAAGGGAATTTTTTTTCTGAGACAAAACTTGAGGAGTTTTGTGCTGTTGTTCTCTTAATCGGGTGTTGTACTAAAGCCCCCCGTCCCTAGGTTGCTCTTAACCAAGGGAAAAAAAAAAACAAACAAACAAACAAAAAAAAAAAAAACCAAAAAAAAAGCAAAAAGTGCAGTTCCTGGCCCTTTCAGGTACTTTCTAAATGTTTCTTTGCTGAGCCAGGGTTTGGACAGACAGCTGAGCTGTGCAATCTTTGTCAGTCTTGGGTGCCTAAAAGTGAGAGTTTTAAAATTACTTCAAGGTAACCGGCCGAAGTTAGAGGCTGGCATCTGGCTTCCACCTTCCTGCTGACCGAGTTTTTGTTAGGAGGGAGGCTTTTTTTCCCCCCAGGCTTGATGAGTTTTTAACTATAGCAACCTTTGGAAGGATGAAACAAACTTGGAAAGTCTTCTCTAACAATACAAGAGATTAAGATTACAAGAGACTAGTCTGTGTTTTGTTCTCTTTGGACTATGATAGGAGAGTTACCTTACTCATTTCAGTTTAGCTCCTGTTGGTAGCATGCACAGACCTCTACTGAAAGGGATGTGTGTGTTGTGCATGTGTTTCTGTAAAACTCGAGCTTTGTGGCTTTTACCTTCCATCAGGTTCAGGTTATGTGCCTAAACATGTAGTGGATAACATTTGATGTTTGTAAAACCAGGGGAAGGAAAACCCGATACCCATTGCACTTGAAAGCCCACGTAAGAATTTTTTGAGAAGTTATGTTGGATCTATAAAGTGAGAGATTATAATGGTGAGAGATTACTTCACATTTCTATGCCCTCATATGTGTTCCCTTACTTCACTATTAGGCTACTTAAACAACGTTTGTCAGCCGGCTGAAGTGTACTGCTGATTTTCCCTGGAGTCTGAGATTGCTAGAGACTGCTATTCCTACCTGTTTTTGGCTTCTGTTTGTCTACAAATCCCTTTTTTAGGGATTTCCTTTCTGCACTTACAAGGCTATTAAAAAGTGGAAGTGGAGGATAATCCTCTCAGTTCATGCATTTGGAGGGAAGGCAAAGGAGCCTAACAAAACCCAGGGCAATCATAGCTACAGTTTACTGTTCCAGTTTGCCTAAGCAAGTAGGAAAACCCAGGGAAAAAGCTTTTCATAGTAAGTTGCTACCAAAGTGAGTTTGTAGATAAGTATCAATTCTAAGCACCTTCAGCTAAGTTCTTGTCAGGGAACAGATACAATTTCTGCATTGCTTTCCTAAGCCAAGGCTCCCTCTGATTTTTATTTTTTTTTAATGTTATTTTCTGCAGTAAAATATAAATGCCATGAAGCATTTGTATGCCATTTGTGAAATTTAGTATTTGGGGTTGCAGCGCTTTGTGAATACAGTGTGGATGCCAGGTCAGATGTGCTAGGTAAAAATGGATTGATATTTTCTTAGTTCACATGGATTGATTGTTGGAATCAACTTCTGGCATGCCCTAATGTCAATATTCTCTAGGGATGCCTTTGCACATAACTTGCAGCTCAGTTTAGTGGCCTAGGTGGGTGTGAGGACCAGCTGTTGTCTCCGTAAGTGGGCTGGTAGTGCCAGCCTGCACGTTGGTCTGACGGCATGGTGTTAGATAGTGAGCTCATCCTGAAAGTAAGTTTCTGTTCCTGGACAGCCAAAACAATGTGGACCTCTGAGGGGCAGATGTAGGTGGTGTAGCTGCACAAAAAAGTCTCATGTATACCAGCAAAAATGTCTCTTGCTGTAATTCCTTTGTCTGGGACAGTTGGTTTTTTTCCACACTATGTGAATTATATCAAAATATAATAACAGTAGTGCTATTAATTTTGATTTATTAAGGAGTTGAGTAGGCAACTCTTGGTGTTCAGGAGAGAAAATCACGGTTTTTTTATGAGGAATTGGATTATACTTTGCATTGTACATTGTGTGTTGTTGTAGCTCATCCAGTCATCTGGCAATATTACACCAAAATGTTTTAGTTCTTTTCTCACTTGGTTATTGTTAAGTAGAGTTTAAGATGCAGAAAAATTGTATGTAACGAAATTGTAATTTCCTGAAAAGTTACAGCAGCTTGTGATTAGAGTGGGAGACTGACAGAGATACAATTGTGTTTGCAAAGTCAAACCTAAACTTCAATGGATGCCAGGATTTTAATCCATCTTCCCTTGATTCCTATATACTTCTTACTTGCAATTTCCCAACTCATGTCACAAGCATGGACTACACTGATAACCCTTTTATGGGATGTATATTTTAGAGGTGGAACTATCTGCAATGAATAAAATGGAGGAAACAGATGTCAGTAACTGTGGTAACACCTTGCAGGAATGTTCCAATCGCAGGTAGAAGTGCTGCTTTGCTTGTCTCCCATCTCCTGTGATGGTCATTATAAGCATCAATGTGAGCCCCACTAATGAGAAGGAAGCCTTTGCTTTTTGGTGTACTAGTCACAATCAGTGCATTATATAAACATAGAAAATAAATAAATATGAGAAACCAAAAAAGTACACTGGTTGTCAGTGCCTTCAATTTTCTTACTTTTCCATTTTTCTCTAAGCTGTTGGTAAGGAATTGTAATTTTTATTTTTCTTTTTTTTGTCTTGTCTGGTGGAATTCTGTACTTATTCATCTTGTACTTCAAAGACTCCCTTCATTAGATTTGAAATGCTGCCTTCTATCTTGCTTGTTCTTTGTTTGTATCATATTTTATTGTTAAAATGCTTTCATTCACTGCTGGTGTATTAGTTGAAATCCTTTATTGCTGTTGATAAAGATAAATACGTTAAGTAAATCTTCGTTTTGCTGACTTCTTTGAGGAGGCATTGCATCAGCAGATTTTCTCAGTGGACAGACGAGGGATGAGAAGGAGTTGACTTAAAAAATTTTTTTTGTAGGGTAGAAAGAATCATCTTGACAGAGAGAGATACTTTAAAGGTACAGTTGTTTCCAAGTCAGGAGAAAACCACGTCTTGCATTAACATCTAATGCGAAGAAGAAAGTCACTGAATGCTGGATTTCTATGGAAAATGGTTTGAAGTTATTCAGGTTTAAAATAAGCCTACTGACAACTGAATAATTGAATAGCAAAGCTGGCTTGTGGATAACTTGAGAATGCTGTTCTGCCTTGGAAGTCAAGATATGGGCAGTTGCTTTGCAGTATTTGCTCCTGCTTCTGGAAGAGAGGAAGATATCACAGGGATAGATTCTCAGATGACCCAATCACGCTCTCTTTTAGGGTAACTGGCAACAGTGTCCCTGCTGCTCCTGAGTATCACCGTGGCACTTGAATGCAAGTGCAAGCACAAATCGAGTATGAATTACAAGGATGGAAACTCTGAATTTTCAGTTGCTTCTGCTCTGTCTTTCATTTCTTAATAAGGGTTTAAAGGTACTTCTTAACAGGAATTACTGCTCAATTATGTATATACTTAGATATTTACCCCTTTGTTTTTTGTGTCATTTTCAGGAAACCAGGTCTAATGAGGAATCAACAGATGAATCTGAGGTAACCTTTCTTAAAATGTTTCACACTCAAATCTGTGTCAGTGCAGTCAGTTCACTGGTTGTTTCTACACGTTTGGCCAGTATTATGTAAAGGATTGTTAATCTGGGTTTAAATTATTAAAGAGAAGCTGTGAATTGCTATTAGAAGGTCCTTTATGTTTAAAAAAACCCCACCATCGCCCCATTATAGTAAAATGAATTATGTTGAGAGATAAGTTCAAATGCATTTGCTTCTGTTTCAATGAAATAAAAATTTGTAAGTATAATTATATATCCAGTAATACTACATTTAGGTAATTACTTTGTTATTTTAATAGCTTCACAGTCTAGACTTAATCATGTTCTGTAGATTCTCCGTTCTTGAGATGATGTTTTGTCAAAAATTGTCTCATTTTCTGGAGAGATCTCTGCACTGCTATAGGTGATGGGAAAAGGTGGCTGGGAGTGAAGAGAGGAAGAAAGCTACAGAGAGTTCAAGAGTTTGTCCCTGAACAATAATGTACTAACTCCAAACCTGCCATCATTGAAGGAACCATAAAAGATAAGAAAGAAATAATTGATATCAGGGATATCCTGTAGCCTGGGATGGCTACAGGAAGGAAGAAATAAAGGTGGCTGAGCAGCTTAAGTTGTGGCCCACCAGCAAGAACAGATGACACAGAGAGGCCTATTACCTTGAGTATTTTCACCCATTACATATCTAAGTCAGAGTGGCTCCTAGACTTAGGAAACTTTAATGGATTTGCTATTAGGAAGATTTTGTTTTTTACCAAGGGACAGATCTCCATGCTTGAGATCTGGGTTTAAGCAGACAGAAAGCCGAATATCTATGACAGTGGAGAGTGCAGACCTTAGTGGTGGCTTCTGAAAAAATATTTCTGCAGTGGAAGGTAAAAAAAAAAAATATTTTTTTTCTTTCTGCCATTGAGTGGTCATCTTCAGTGGAACTGAACAGCAATACTGGTGAGAAGCAGGGTTTTTTTGGCCCTTTAATATTGCTCTGTGGAACAGCTGCCAGGGCCAGTCTTTTTTTGCCCATTGTGAAATGCTTTCATTCTGAATAGTGCTTTGTGATTTGGAGATAAACAATCATTGGGCAAGGACTCAGTACTTAGTAAAATAATAATCTTCTCAAGGCTTGGCATTCACAGGATAGTGAATACAGATACCAACTGAGGTGATTTTTTTTTTTTTCTTCAAGCCTACTGTAATGAAAAAAATGGCACTTCTAATGGCCTTTAAAAGGCTGTAACAAATCAGTATTTACAGCAGAATTAATCATAAATGGGTTGCCAGGTTGGTGGGGATTTGCTGTTTTTTACCTTAAGGAAAAATAGACATCATGCATCTTTCACAAAATTTAAAGTCCTAAAATTTCAGCTAGACTTATGTTAAAGTTGATGTCTATTTTTAATGTTCATTTCATATGCAGAGAGAAGTGAAAAGGAAATTTATGTATTGAGATTGTAGATACTGGATCTAAAGAACAATTGTCATTCTAATGTCTGTGAAAATGCTTTGCATTAGTCATCTTTGAGTATTAAGTCCAGTCGTTATTATCTTGGTCATCATTAGTTAGTTAATGGAATGAAACTGATAAGACTATTTCTAATGGTTGTTCAGGCAAAACCAAATTGGTAAAAGCACAAAGTGTAAATGTTCTCAGTGCTTGCTTATATTATTTGAAGTATGGTCTGAGCTAAGATCAAGCTGATGGCTTCATTCCTAGCTCTTGTGATCATAAAATTGTAATTATTTCTTTTGAATATAGTTTGAATAATCAGGGATGTATTTTATGGTGGTGGTTCTAGAATCAAGGACTAATTCTTGGAGCCTGTGTTTAGTTTTAGCCATTAAAAATATATATTTATGGCATGTACTTCATAGACATCTTTCCATAGTACTAAAACTTTTTACATATACAATTACTCTTGCAATTAATGTAATTTAAATTCTTCGTCTAAAATTGAATGTTGAGTTCCTAAGGCTGTCCTGGTGTAAAATACTTCTTATCTACTGAAGTCAGAATGTGTAAAATGCAAAGGTATCAATTAGCAGAGATGGTGCATTTGTTCAGGCATTAAGCAGACCATTCTTTCAATGTAGAGATAGCTGTAGTGACTTGTAAAATTTGTAGAACTTGAAGGAGTGTAATTGATCTCTCCTTGTAACTAGAGTACAGTTGACACTTTACTATCATGTTCTTATATATGATTTGGGGTATTATAAGCTTTTTCTTTTCCTGTAGTCAGACTGCTATATATTATGCCATGGTATGACGAGGAAGCTGTCTCTGTAATAGTCCTCTAATTCTTAGGGGAAAACATCTTTGTTTTGTAAAGTAACTTTACTGTAGTCTTGAAGCAAAAGTATTTTCTTTTTGTATGTTTGGCTTTAGACATTTGATTTTGGTGGTTTTTGGTGGGTTGTTTTTTTTTTGATTTTTTTTTCCTGAGATATATTTGCATTACTTATGCTAACCTTGTCTAATTATCAAATATGCAGCCAGATTTGAGTCTGGATCTGAGTAGGTTGGTTTGGCTGAAAAGTCCTAGTAAAATATGGTTTTATTGGCTTATTTAATTTCATTTATAGCACCTGAACTAAATGTTTGGACTGTCACATTTGATGAGATCTAAAAAGTATATAGCAAAGTAATCTCATTTTTGGCTATTTGGAAGCTGTGGAGGAAAACAAAAATCTCTGTAAGTTATGTATAGCCTGAATCTGAATTTATTTGCAAATTATTCTTCTTCCTCACAATGCATCTGTTTCTGTAAAATCTTACTTTTCTCACATAAACTGTTTTCTGTCAGGCAGATAGTTATGTTTTGCCAGTTAATTAGCAAAGAATAAAAGTCTTGAAATTTTTTCCTCCATTCGATTTTCCTACAGGGGTTATGAGCAGATTATGCTGATCCAGCATCTGACTTTTTACAGGAAACACCCTTTCAAGAACAAACGTCCCTGGAATTATAAATGAGTGCTATGTCCCAAGAAATGATCTTTGATTATATAAGGCATGTCACTGTTGTTTTTTGTTATTTTTTTTAATGCTGCACTACAGCAGAAATTTTTTGTTTTGCAGTTGTTTGCTTGTTAAACCAGTGCAGATGTTCATGTTCTGCAAAGAGGTATTAAAGTAGTATTTTTTAAAAAATGTGCATTAATATCTGTATTCCTACATTTTTGTTAGCTACATGAATGTGTTAGTATTATATCAGTATTGCATATATTTTCATTCTAACACTTCTATTTTTATATGTCCCCTTCTTAAGTTTGTTTTACTGTTTCTTTTTACTGTTTTAATCACTGTCACCCTGTGAAAGGGATATGCTTGTTCATTTAGTTTCTTGTTTAGGTATTTAAACACTATATTAATAAATTCCATGAGAGTTTGTAGAGAGGAAGGTATTGTAGAAATTCCTGGTTAATCCAAGGCTCAAACTATATCTGATGGTTTAGAAATATCTGTCTCTGATACACTTTTACCACTGAAATTAGTAGTGGTCTTGTTCTTAAAGGTTTTTAAAACTGAACAGAGCAGGAACACAGTTAAGAAAAAATGTAAGTCTTAAAAAGAGGCAACTAAAAAGCCTTGATATTTTCTTTCTCTTTTCAGTGCACTCCAAGTTTTAGTCTTGTAGGTTGGGTATGGATTAGGTCAAAGCAATTAAATAATTTCAAGTAAATAAAGCATCTGGTGAAAAAGGCTCCTTGTCATACTGTGTTTCCATCAAAATGTTCTCTTAATATGGAGTGTGGAGCACTGGGCTGGAAGAGGTGAGCTGTTCTGTGGATAGTAGCATTTGAAGGGGCATCACCATTGCAAGAAAAATGGATGGTTGAAAAGTAGATGTGGCTCCTGTACCTTAGTCCAAATTGCCTTTTTTGGTCTCCTGTCTGATCTTTTCCAAAGTACTTCTTTTAATCACACCACTTTTCCTTACTATTGAATAGTTGTACGCTAGATTATATTTTAAAATATAAAATGGGAGAAAAATGCTTAAAAAGTATATTCTGTTTCACATGTCTGGAAGTCTGAAGAGAGATTGCTTCCCTCTGCATGGCTTTAAATTAAATTGGCCTTTTGGGGAGAATGGAAGGAAAAGTTAGATAAATTCCAAGTACAAAGTTCTCTTTATTGATGAGGAAATGTATCATGCAAATAATTTATCAATTTGAGTCAGTAGGATGAGCATAGTAAATTATTTATTGAAGTTTAAATGGAATCTTTCCATACATTAATTTGAGAAACAAGTTTGCAGTGACTAGTAACTAACATTATAATAAACATTATTAGAGGATTGACTTGCAGGAAAAAATGGATTATTACAATATTCTTTTAAGATGTTCTGGTTTTGAGTGAAAATTAAATACTTCATTTAATGAGCTATTAATATTAACCAGAAGTGCCTGTTCTATCTGTGTGTTGTGGAATACATAAAAAGTTAAAATGCTGCTGTGCTTCCTCCATAAATTAAATGCAATTGCAAAGCTACTGTGTTAGCAGAGTAGGCAGATGTGGCTTTTCCAAAACACTAAATGTATTTCTCTATGTGGAATAACACTCTTGGCTGCAAAAAGAAAGTAATGGTGAAATTCAGCTCTTCCCCAGTTGTGGGTAGGTGAGCTTCAAAAACTGCTATTCCCAAAACTGCGCTGTCAGCTTTTCATAAGCAGTAGATCACAAGGTGGCAACTGGGTTGCTTGAGTAGTGTTCACAGGGGAAACAAATGTTTGCCCAAGTTCCTTACTCAGCAAAAGGACAGTAAAAGTAGAAATGCATAGCTTCATTGAGATTTGAACTGAGTTTAGATTTTTCTGTGCTGGAATTGGATTTGGACATGGAAGATAAAACAGCCTATCCTGTACTGCCTCTGTATGGTGTACTTGGTGTGGATGGACTTGTCCTTTGAACACTGGACTTATGTTTTTGAACACTGAAGTGGATTTGGAAGTTTCAGGTGTTCTTTGTAATGCTCTAAATTATCGGTAAAATAAATTGAAGTAGTTGAAATGAAACCAAATTGTATTCTAGGGACTTTTTACTACTAATTTTTTTTTAAATGTGCCATTTTATGAGGATTGGTCATGTGCAGTATGTCATCTCTATGTTACTTATGCTTCAAAACTTGGCTGGTGCCCAGCTCCTTCAAACCTGTGGGAGTAAATCTTCCACTGCTGTTGTGCAAATATATTCTAATAGTTGGTATGTCACACCAGTTTCACAAAGAAATAAAATGCTCTCTGTTTTGTCTTTCATCTATGTGTCATTTCATACTGTAAATGCAGCCCATTTTGAGACCTATTCACAGGCAACCATATCATCTTAATTCCGTGCTCTTGCTGTATATCTGCATTTTCCCAGGGTATTAAATAAATCCCTGTGGAAAATGCATGGGGAGAACAGAAAGCTGCTGTGTGAAATTTTACCATCCTAATCCATATTTACCAATTTTACAGCTAGATACTGGAAAAGCATTGGTGATGTGCCTTGTGAACAGTTGTAAAGGAATGAGATCAGAGGTTATTCATGTTTTTACTGTATTTTCACCATAGAATTAGGGGAAATATTTTAAGCAGCATAAGTCACAAACATGCTGTCATAGTTTAGAAATTTCAGTCTTTGTGCCTTTTGTTTTTTTGTGTACCAGTAGTTGCAGAACTGAAATTAATTCTTGTGCAAGCTGGGGACTTTAATGGGTTTCTAGCTTTTGTTCACTATTGCTTTACCTGCTTTTGAACCAGTGACTTCAAGGTGAAATGCTCTTTGCTATTCTCATTCTTTAACCAGTTTTTTTTTTTCTGCTTTGTTAAAATTTTCCTGTAGGAACAACTATTTGGTATGAAAGTAATGGAGGAAAAGAGGTTTATGTTCTCTCAGTGAGCTTCCAAAGGGTCTGGTAAAGTGCTCAGGATTTAAATTCAACACAGTAAATAAAACAACAACTTGCAATAAAATTGTATTCCAGTTTTGATACTATCAAGCCACCTGGTTAAAGGCCTTTAGTCTGAGTTTTTCCTGGAATTCCTGTAGTGTTAGAGATTTTATTGCATTGAGAGAAATTGAGTTGAGATCCTAATTCTGAAAATAACATAGGTAGTCCCTTTATCACTGAGGTAGCAGCAGAAATCTGGAAACCATATCCTAGGGATTGAGACACAATAATGATGAAGCTGCTGTTACATAATATTTACACATCCTATTACAATAATTCTCCTTGTTTGCTCTGTGGCACTTGATTCTTCAGCAGAAGTGCATATATCATCCAAAATAGTGGGGGATGGAGTACTTTCTTCTGCTTGCTTCTGGATTTGTTTTCTTTTGAAGGAAGGCCAGGTAAGACTCAGAAATGGCCATCAGGGAAGGTGTGTTTGCATCACTTTAGAACACAGAAGTCTTTTTAAAAAAGAAATGCTTTAGGAGCTTGAGTTTGAGGTGTGTAATGGGTTGATGCTGGCCAAACACCAGTGCACCTATGAAAATCACTCATTTTCTTCAGCTATGGTTAAGCAGAGGAGGAGAAAAGAAAACTCATGGGGTAAGATGAGGATTAGGAGAAAATGCTTTAGGGGCAAAACAGGCTCAGAACTTCAAAAGGTATAAAGGAAAAAAAATATTAACATAATTAAAAGAGAATAATGAGACATAAAATAAACTTTTAGAACACCTTTCCCTGCCATGCACTTCATGAATTACAGGGAAACTGTTTGTTGTATTATAGTCCTCACCACAGCTTGCAGAAGAATCTCAGCTCCGATGCTTGGAGCACCTCCTCCTCTCCCTCCCTCCATTGCACCAGCCTTAGGGTTGCCATGTTGTTCTCCTCACGTGTCCTCACTTTTTCCTGACTCAGGAGAGAATTGGTGTTCATAGGTTCATGTGTTCCCAAGTTCTATCAATTTGCTGCTGCTGCTTTTGCCTTTCTGTCTGCAGCATGGCTGGTTAAAAGCACCTAAGTAAATAAAGCCCATTATGAGCCATGCTGAGAGAGCTGCAGCCATGTCAGGGTTGAGCAGCCCTCACTGGGAAAGATGCTTGGCCATCCACCTATTCCTCTGTAGAGAGCAAAAGAGCTTCCTACAGTTTTTTGTTTGTAAATGTGTTATCATAGAGATGTTTCCAGCTTTTCTAATTGGCTTAGCAGTGTGCCAATTTTCTGAGCTTTAGGCAGTGATTGGTTTTGCCAGGCAGAGAGGAAGCCGCTACCAGCTCCTCACAGAGAATTACTTCCATAGCTGACTTTTTCTGTCTTCACCAAAAATCAATTACTGCAAAACCAGCACAAGACACTGTCTTTTTGAGAATCAAATTAGATTCTAAATTATACTTTGTGTTCTTTGATTGTAAAGAATAACAATCCTCTAGAGGTTTTGCAACAATGAAAATAAAAAAATTTAAGTCTGTGTTGTGACTTTCCAGCTATTTTTTCAGAAATAATGATTATTTAAGTTATTTCTAAACTGTAACATGGGTTGCAGTTAGTGTGAGAAGAAGCAGGACCTGGGCTAGGGTTTTTTTCTGACTTCCATGTCAGAATGGCAGGCAGTTTCCTTCAAAAGTGACAGCATCAGAGGCAAACACCAAAGAAGCCTGATGTTACAATGGAAGAACTTTGAGAAAATAGCTGCCTTCTTTACAATGATAGGGTTACATCCTCATTGCCCACCTCAGTAATTTGAGTCTTTTGACAATTTTGACTTCTGAAACTTTCCAAAGACGTACTTTTCTCCTACCCCCATTCTGACCAGAATTTGTCATCATCTTCAAATAAATTTTTTTAAGTGTTGCTGAGGAAGAATAAGACTGATGGTATGCACAGGTAATGCAATTAATAGTGGGTCAGTTTGCTTGAACATATTTGCTCTTAGGGTAGAAGGAAGTGGACAAATGTCCAAAAATATTTCTGGGTTCCTTCTTATATTACATAGGTAATACCTTATAGATTATCACATACATAATTTATCTTGTAGGGTTCAAAACTTCTACCTCTCATCTTTAAAGTACAAACGATATTCTGATGCCTGCAGTCATAAGGCAATAGTAGGATTTATAAAGACCGACTGTTTTGTGACAGTGAAATGGGAATATAAGAAGGAGGAGGGGGAGGAGGCAAATTTACCTCATCAC